CCCCAGACTCAAAAATGATTTTAATATTACCAAGTACTGAAGTTCATTATATAGTTTCACATTCAACATTGCAAGTAGCCTTTAAAAAAACTACCATTTTTTTACTTTGGCTGTAATATCAAAGAAAATAATCATCATCACCTGAAGAGAATATTTAAATATTTCTCCCATTTCCAATTACATATCCCTGAGGCTAGATTTTCTTCATATACTTCAACTAAAATGACATTCTGCAATAGACTGAACACAGATGCTGATATAAGAATTCRGCTGTCTTCTATTAATTCAGAGATTATAGAGATTTGCAGAAGTAAAACAATGTTCCTCCCGCCTCATTAAATTTTTTGTTTCAGAAGGCTTTTAATGGGGCTGGGGATATAGCTCAGTTGGTAGAATGCTTGCCTGGCATGCACAAGGCCCTGGGTTCAATCCCCAGCACCACAAAATAAAAAGCTTTTTATGGGAGGGGTGTAGCTCAGTGATAAAGTACTTGTCTAGTATGTGTGGGACCCTGAGTTCAATCCCCAAAACCACAAAAACAAAACAAAAAAAAATTTAAAGTGTTATAAGCATAAATGTTTATTATTATTATTATATTTATTTATTTATTTAAAGAGAGAGKGAGAGAGGGAGAGAGGGAGGAGAGAGAGAATTTTAATATTTATTTTTCAGTTATCGGCGGACACAACATCTTTGTTTGTATGTGGTGCTGAGGATCGAACCCGGGCCGTACGCACGCCGGGCGAGCGCGATACCACTTGAGCCACATCCCCAGCCCTATTATTATATTTAATTAATCAGTAAGTATTTAAATTATTTGTCTTTTAGTTTTAACTTCTAATAGAGTTAAATTTTTGGTACCAGGGATTAAACCCCAGGGATGCYTGATTACTGAGCCACACCCTCAGTTCTTTTAATTTTTCATTTTGAGACAAGGTCACACTAAGATGCTTAGGGCCTCACTAAATTGCTGAATATGGCTTTGAAATTGAGATCCTCCTCCCTCAGCCTCCCAAGTAGCTGGGATTTGAGGCATGTGCCTGGCTAGAGTTCAAAATTAATAAATATAACCCACATAAGTAAATAGTTCCTTGGGGTCCATAATGGTTCTTAAAATAGTAAAGAGGTCCGACATAGACCAAAAAGTTTTAGAGCTGCTAATATAGAATTTCCCCTGCCCTACTTGTCTTTTAAGGCTCTACTCCAGAAAGACTTCCTTGATAGCTTACAGTCAATTAGTGTAATTATTTACTTATAGAGAAGAACAAAGACTACATTGTTTCATTGCCACTAAATTAATGGTGTGTTGAATGAACAAGGCTAAAATGCAATCCAATACTGAGTGTTTCACTGTAAATACATATACATTAAGTTRATATTTCACACTAGTTATTCTGTATTTGTCCATGATGCTTAAACCTAGCCTCCCCAGCCACTGGAATTACAGGCTTGTGCCACCATGCTCTGCTTTCACTACTTTTGAATGTCTAAAATTTTCCATAATAAAAAGTTGGGTAGCCAACTTAGTTGGGCCTATAGGCACATGTCACCACACCTGTAGTATTCAAAACCTAAAGCAGGAGAGGATCACTTTTGCCCAGGGGTTCAGGACCAGCCTGGGCAAAATAGCAAGACCCTGTTTCTATTGGGAAAAAAAGAAAAATTTGTAAAAAAGAAAAGTACATGGGGTGGGGTTGTAGTTCAGTGATAGAGCCCTTGCCTAGCATGTGTAAGGCACTAGGTTCAATCTTCAGCACCACATAAAATAATTAAAATATTTGGCTGGGGATGTGGCTCAAGCAGTAGTGCGCTCGCCTGGCATGCGTGCGGCCCGGGTTCGGTCCTCAGCACCACATACAAACAAAGATGTTGTGTCTGCCGAAAACTAAAAAATAAATATTAAAAAATTCTTTCTCTTTCTCTCTTTTTAATAAATAAATAAATAAATAAAGGTATTTTTTCTAACCAAAAAAAGAAAGAAAAGTACAACCTGGTGACACATCCTTTTAATCCCAACTACTCAGAGGCTGAAACAGGAAGATCACAAGTTCAAGGCCAGCCTCAGCAATTTAGTCAGACCCTGCCTAATAAAATTTAAAAGAAAGCCTGGGGGGCTGGGGATGTGGCTCAAGCGGTAGCGCGCTCGCCTGGCATGCATGTGGCCCGGGTTCGATCCTCAGCACCACATACAAAGATGTTGTGTCTGCTGAGAACTAAATAAATAAATAAATAAATAAAATCTTTAAAAAAAAAAAGAAAGCCTGGGGATGTAGCTCAGTGGTAGAGAACTTGCCTAGCATGTGAGAACCCCCAGTACCACAAAAAAGAAAAAAAGAGAGAAAGGAAAAAAAAGGAAAGAAAAATGCATGTATGAAATATGATAGCTGAAATGTTGTTTATTACTCTATTTTCAAAGCCCCAAATCAAGCCAGTGCAGTACACCTGTAATCCTAGCAACCTAGAAGGGTGAGGCAAGAGGATCTAAAGTTCAAAGCCAGCCTCAGCAATTCAGCGAGGCCCTAAGCAATATAGTGAGAACCTGTCTCAAAATAAAAAACAATAAAAAGGGCTGGGAAAGTGGCTCAGTAATTAAGCACCCCTAGGATTAATCCCTAGTACAAAAAAAAAAAAAAAAAAAGCCCAGTTCTTTTCCTACCTCTTCCATGAAACCTTTCTATATTGATTTATCTCTTCTATTCTTGTGCATTTATTTGTACTACACAATTGACTTCAATTGTCCACATCACAGGATCTAATCCATTATATCTTTCTTATCCACATTTTTAAAATATTTTTTTAGTTGTCAATGGACTTTTATTTTAATTATTTATATATGGTGTTGATGAAACCCAGTGCCTCACACATGTTAGGCAAGCAGTGTGCCACTGAGTTACAGCTCCAGCCCCCTCTTATCCACATTTTGGTACATTATAGTTGTACATATTGATGGGATTTGTTGTTACATATTCGTACATGCACACTATACAACAATATAATTTAACCAGTATCACTCCCCAGTACTTCTCCCCTCCCTCTTCATCTCCCACCCCTTGGTCTCTTTCTTCTACTGATCTCCCTTTGATTTTTAGATCTACCCCCACCTTTTTTTCCTTTTTCCCCACAAGCTAATCCATTATATCTTMTTAACTGATCATGTTTTATCTCCACATAGCTAGTCTTTAATACACACAAAATCCAACCACCCCAGAATAATGCCTAGCCTCCAAAGATTCATTTTTAAGAATTTTTATGAACCTGGAACCTGTGGAAAAATCCAATATTCTTTCTTGTTACCCCAAGGGCCACTCTAATGTTAAAATTAGAAGTTTGGTTTATTTGTGGTGAGGGGTGCTGGGGACTGAATACAGGGCTTTGCACATGCACTGAGATATACCCCAGCCCTAAAATTAAGTATTACTCTAGAAAACCATATAATACTGTCCTCTTGAAATTTTGCCAGGGTCACTTCTTGACACCAAAATGCTAAGCTAGGATGAGGATGTAGCTCAGTGGCAGAGCACTTGCTTGTAGAAGCTAGAGAATCTGGGTTCAATCCCCACTACAAGAGGGGGAGGGCATGACAGGGAAAAGAGAAAGGAGAGAGGAAGAAATTTGTTAGTTAACTGATTAAGTAACGATTAAGTACAATGAAGTTATTTTATAAAAWCTTCAGCTGGAATACAAAGGGAAAGCACTTACTCAAAGGAAAATTTGGAAAACCCAGGAAACAAAGAACCTGATACTTAGAGATAGGTAGTATCTATCTCTAATTAGAGATAGACCACCACTCCAGTGGTGAAAAACAAGACAACTGGAGGAGAAAAAGAAACTGGAGGGGCTGGGGTTGTGGCTCAGTGGTAGAGCGCTTGCCTAGCATGTCTGAGGCGCTGGGTTCGATCCTCAGCACCACATATAAATAAATAAGCAAAATAAAGGTATTGTGTACAACTACAACTAAAAAATAATTAAAAAAACAAAAAAGAAGCTGGAGTATTGCACGATTTAGAGTTGGTTCATAATCCCTTTATTCCTATTTATTCAGTTGTTGTAGTACAGGGGATTGAACCCAGGGGTGCTCTACCACTGAGCTACATCCCCAGTTCTTTCTTCTTCAATTTTTATTTTGAGAGGTCTCACTTAATTGCTTATGGTAGCCTTGAACTTACAATTCTACTGCCTCAGCCTCCCAAGTCACTGAAATTTCAGGTGTGTGCAATAGCATACAGCCCCTTTATCCCTTTTCTTTTCTTTTTTTCACTAAGTACCATGCTAGGCATGGTGGTACACATTTGTAATCCCAGCTGCCCAGGAGGCTTAAGCCAGCCTCAGCAATTTAGTGAGACCCTGTCTCTAAATAAAATATAAAAGAGTGCTGGGGATGTGGCTCAGTGGTTAAGTGACCCTGAGTTCAGTTCCCAGAACCACCCCTGCCACACAAACACAAAAACAATGTTTCCCCTCTCCAATTACAAAAGAAACATATGTTCTCATATACTACTTTTCCGATTGCCAAATCAGGTACTAAATACATCATATTCATCGAATATAAAATATTATTCTATTTTTAACTTACATTTAATTTGAATTAGCTACTCAAAGTAACTACTCTTTTATCTGCCATTTCTTGTGTTGAGGTCCTACCCAACTATATCAACAGTTCTTCACACTYCATGTACAAAAAAATATACATGGAATAATTAAGTTTCTTGCCAAAATATCCTATATAAACTCTAGTCTGAATTCACAACAACAATTCCAACATTATCATAAAATTCCCATAGCAATCAAGTATGATGCTCACCTGATTACTAGCCCAGATGTATTGCCTCATCCATCCAGGGTAAAGTATTAAGAATAGTATTTATCAAATGTAACTTGGAGAGACACTGGGAAAAGGTAGTGGATAACATGCAGGACTTTAAATATATGGACAGAACATATTAACACCTCTTCACCTTCCTTACAAACCATAAAATTCCCATAGCAATCAAGATGCTCACCTGATTACTAGCTGAGATGTATTGCCTCATCCATCCAAGGTAAAGTATTAAGAATAGTATTTATCAAATGTAACTTGGAGAGACACTGGGAAAAGGTAGTGGATAGCCTCTAGCAATTCACCTGGGAGGGGAAAAAAAAAATTATCTCTTTAACCACTCTGAATCCAGCTCTAACAATCTTTCCGCAATAAGTAATCAATCAAAAGTCTCACAATAGTTCTGCTATTTCACTGGACTCTATTTGTTTATTTGTCTGTTTAAGTATCAGGAATCGAACCTGGGGCACTTAACAACTGAGCCACATTCCCAGACCCCCTCTATTCTTTTTAGTTATACATGATAGCATGTATCTTGACATATTATACGTATATGGAATATAATTTCTCATTCTTTTGGTTACACACGATATAGAATTATATTGGTTGTGTAAGCATATGCATATAGAACAGTAATGTTTGATTCATTCTATCTTTCCTATTCCCATTTCCTCTCCCTTGCATTCATTTCTCTTTGTCTAATCCAAAGTACTTCTATTCTTCTCTACCTGTCCCCCTTATTATGAGTTAGCATCCACATATTAGAGAAAACAATTGGCCTTTAGTTTTCTGGGTAGCCCAGCCCCCCCCACACTTTTTAATTTTTTTTTTAATTTTGAGACAGGTTTTTGCTAAGTTTCTTAGGCCTCACTAAATTGCTGAAGCCAGCCTCAAATTTGTGATCCTCCTACCTCAACCTCCCGAGTTGTTGGGATTACAGGTGTGCACCAACCATGACTGGCTTGAATGCTATGTTTTAATTAAGTGACTTGGTTCTAGTTCAAAATTAATTTGAAGCTACCTTTCTTCTTTCTTACTCTGAAAAGCTGAATACCATCTGCCTTAACTATAAAAATCCCCAGAGACTTCAATTCTACAAGAGCTCTACATAGTTCTAAATTTAGCCAAGTAATAGAAATAGGTGGAAAGCATGCAATTCATTTTAATATCCATACTTTTATGTTGCCAGGCAGCTATTCTCTTAAGCAATCTTAAAGCAGTCATCTACATAAAATGATACATCTATAAGTCAACTAAAAGGTTAGCAATGGTTAATTAAAAGACTATCTATGACTTCTGGAAATGATCACACACACCCAAAAAATATTCTGTATTCTCCCACAGGGATAACATGCAGGACTTTAAATATATGAACAGAACATATTAACACCTCTTCACCTTCCTTACAAACCATGTTTATGTTTCCACATCAAATGAAAGCACAAATAGATTAATGGGGTTCACCTTCAGAATAAAATGTTTTTTATGGATGGGAAAGACATGTCTTGCGGCTGGGTTGTGGCTCAGTGGTAGAGCACTTGCCTAGCATGTGTGAAGAATTGGGTTCGATTCTCAGCACCACATAAAAATAAATCAATAAAATAAAGGCCCATCAACATCTAAAAAAAAATTTTTTTTAAATAGACTTAGGTGGGCACAATATCTTTTTATTTTATTTTTATGTGGTGCTGAGGATCAAACCCAGTGCCTCACACATGCCAGGCGAGCACGCTACCACTTGAGCCATATCCCCAGCCCAAAAACTTTTTTTAAAAAAAGAAAGACATGTCTTATTTTTATGTAGATATTAAAAAGGGGGGGGGG